TAGATATATCGCTAGCGCATATCACTAGCACCAAGTGATGGCTTTCTTCGGTATATCCTGGGGATTGTTTTTGATACTGAACTCATACATACTCTTAGAGATATGTCTGTGTCCAGTATTCAAATATGTGACGTGTTTTGTGTCATGTTAAACGGGATGCACATAATGTCAACAAATAACCCCTCCTCAGACCACAAAGAAGTGGATAAATGCCCCTCCACTCTCTTGTATGCTGTCCGGCACAGGCCAAATCGAGAATCGAAGTTTCCTCTCGTCCACACACTTACTTGAGGGATTTGATGGTCACAAATGTACATAGCTGTTCCAATGTACGCGTCTATTCTTCTATTCGCATGACTGTGCATAGTTTATAGCACTAGCAACACCTGCAACCTACGTATGTCTATATTTCCCACGCACAGTCTATGTAGACTCTACTGTAGACATTTGGTGGTTGTTCTATAGCTATTTGTTTTCCACTTAAAGTCTATGGAGACTCTACTGTAGACATTTGGTGGTTGTTCTATAGGTATTTGTTTTCCGCCTAGAATTGGGATAGATGCCCCCACAAGGATTCAAGTGCATGACTGGTCAAGGAATCACCGGATGCACACATACCGCTCTAGCTCAATAGAACTTACGCAATGCTTGTACCAATCTAGATATACTGATACACTAGGAGTATCTCCATTTTTCGTTGCTTATTCTATGTACTACGCACAGCCTAAGTTGGTACAAGATTCCAAATTCACACTCATCTATTGAATTACCGGGGCGCCCTATCTCAATGGAACATACATACTTCTTCACATATATCTAGATATACTGATATGCTATTAATGTCTATAAAAAAATATCTATCTGCCTCTATATTCTACGCACAGCCTAAGCCGGCACATGGATCCAAGTTCATGCTTTTCCATGAAATTGGGTGGGTTCTATCTCAATCCTACATACAGAGTTCTGCATACAAATCTAGACCTACAGATAGGCTAGCAATGTCGCATCTTCTTGTCCTGTTCCGTATATCACAAACAGCCCAAGCTGGTGCAAGGATCCAAGTTCATGCTCATCCATGAAATTGGGTGTGTTTTATCTCAATCGTACATACACAGTTCTGCATATTTATCTAGACCTACAGATAGGCTAGCAATGTCTCATCTTCTTGTCCTGTTCCGTATATCATGAACAGCCCAAGCTTGTACAAGGATCCAAGTTCATGCTCATCCATGAGATCACCGGGTGCGCACTGTCCATGTCGGAAGAGGAACTTCCCGACTGGGGCCACAGAAACGGCGAGGTGAGGCCAAACTGAAAGATTTAGAAGCGTTTTACGTATATGTGTTTGTATTTTTAATGCTGTTGACGTTGTGCGAATATCAAAGAGGTGAGTCTAAAGTTAAAATAATCAGAAACGTTTACGTATGTGTGTTTGTATTTTCAATACGGTTGACATTGTGCGAATATCATACAGAAAGGCCACAGAAACGGCGAGGCGAGTTAACATTCAAGGAATGGCAAACGAATGGCATACAGCTTGTGTACCAACATGGCCTTATCGAGACACGCACGTCTGTGTTTCACTTCAGCACTCACTATCCTATACTGCAGCAGTTACAACCTCAGTGTGGCCTGATTTAAATACATCCACGGTCACATATGAACACGCACATACATGTATACGAGCATATACCCGTAAAATCGTCGAACGACAGGACCAGAGCCTATACTTGTGGCGGAGTGTACTGGTTATTATCTTTTGCCTCCTCATCTGGATCCTTTTTGCTTCAGTTGGCCAGAGCCACATGGCTTTATCGACGGTCACTCCACACCTTTGACATCACCACTCTTTACCTCAGACCTGTGGACTCGCTACTTGTACGCAAACGGATTCTCATTGTTGACCTTGTACATGAACATTTCTTATCTTAGACCTACTTCTATATGACCTGCACTTATGTCTGGGTTTACATAAGCACCTACACTCATGTCTGGGCGTACATATACACCTGCACTCATATCTGGGAGTACATATACACCTACACTCATGTCTGGGTGTACATATACATCTACACTCATGTCTGGGCGTACTTATACACCTACACTCATGTCTGGGTGTACATATACACCTACACTCATGTCTGGGCGTACATATACACCTGCACTCATGTCTGGGTGTACATATACACCTACACTCATGTCTGGGTGTACATATACACCTACACTCATGTCTGGGTGTACATATACACCTGCACTCATGTCTGGGCGTACCTGTCCTTTCATACTGCCTCCTTCTCTGCGGTGAGTAGGTACTGTGTGCTCCGGTTGGCCAGAGACGCATGGACCTGCAGACATTCACACTAGACGATTTTGTCCGAGAACGCGGCAAAGAGGTGAACCTAAAGCCGCCGGTTAAGGACCGCAGCGGTCTGTGGACATCCATTAAGGACGTGTGGCAGATCCAGAAGATTGGTGTGTGATGTGGGAGGTATTGGGGGTTATTAGGCGATGCGTGTTTTTAAGTGATATGATGGTTATGTCGCAGGTGATGCCGTGTTTGAATCGTATCTGAAGAGTTGGAAGTCTGCGTGATGTTTGGGTTACAGTATGGTCATTTCCTAGTGTAGCTGTGATACGTATTTGTAAATATGTATGTTCTACATGATATATATATAAATACATATATATAGGACCAGGCACACACTCGCAAACAAATGCACACGTACAAGTACAAGTGTCTGTTCGCAATCTATCTGCGAATTCAATCTGTATACACATGTAGAATAAAGAGTCGTGATCTGTAGTTTTTCTATAGCCAGGGAAGTGATAGTTCGACTAACAGGTTTGTACCACTACAAGTCACACCGACACACCTGGCCCGTACTCATTGGGGGGCGGGGGGAGAGGGTGTGATATGCTATTTTCATCATGCACTTGTAGTAGATTGACTAGATCTGACTTTTTCATGTTCAGATATCCATGTCTTTCACTACCCACTAAACTTTCGTATACATCGATTGTAGACCATTTTTTTTTCGTTTTACAAAACAATCTATTTATAGCCTGGGAGGCAAACATGCGGTTGACTGGATCGCACCCCTACGAGTCCAGGCCCCACGCCTGGCCCACACTCATGGGAGGGGTATCCTACTGGCAAAACCGGGACAAAATGACGCAAATCTACCTACTCGGCAACCCAGCCATCTTCTACTCAGTGCTGCTGGCACCGATAGTGTACGTGCTGTGGCTGTGCGTGTGGGCGATCAGGCGCAAACGAGGGTTTGTGGATATGGATGGGGAGAAGGAGAGGAAGTTCTTGATGGCCGCGTTCCTGTGGCTCGGTTGGGCTCTGCACTACGTACCCTTTTACTTCATGCACAGGTATGTTCTTGTGTGTACGTGTAGGCGTGCGTGTGTATGTGCGTGTGTGTTTATAATAGCGTATGTGGGATTAACCAGAGGTTTGAATGCCAGCTATCTGTGAACCCGTGAGCGTTGTATGTGGTTGTGCATTGGTATCACTCGAGAGAATCTCCGATCATAGCTCGCCTGGGCTTAACACCACTTCATACTCAACCTATATCGTATTCACAGATACATCCCTTCTAATTTACCAACCAATCGGGCCCTTCTCCACTCACCTACAAGTCGTATATCTATCCCACACCCTGCCGCAGGCAACTGTTCTTCCATCACTATCTGCCAGCTCACTACTTCATGATCCTGGCCTTTGGGGCTTTCATGGACATATTCCTGGGGGTATTCCGGTCGGCGCGTGTGCGTGTGGCGGCGGTTGCGCTTCTGCTGTGTGCGTACGCATGGTACTTTCATCTCTTTGCATCGCTCGTGTATGGCAATGTGGACAGGAGCGTGAACGACCGTAGGTGGCAGAAGAAATGGAATTACATATAAAGCTACGAGTCGTACGAATGTGCCTAAACCTGGTTTTTCTTGGGTGTTTTGTATATTATCCGCATGTATGTATGCTTGCTTTGCTCGGAATTGGTTTGAGTGACAATGTGAGTTCTTCTTATGGCTTGCGTCGGTTGTATATGGTCAAATTGTGCCAAGGTTGTGAACGACCACGGATGGCAAAAGGAAATAAAAACAAAAACGGGTTTGTTTTTACTATCACAGACGTAAGTACCGATATTTATTAACTTGGACAAGAATTTTCATAAATGCAAGGTCTTTATAAAAATCTATTAGATGCCGGAAGAATTGGAAATGCCCATCAGCCCGCAATCCATATATCTACACATGCACTAGAATCATACATGTATACTTATACGCGCATACCCTATATATCTACGCATGCACTAGAATCATACACGAATACGTACACGCGCATACCCTATATATCTACGCATGCACTAGAATCATACATGTATACGTATACGCGCATACCCTATATATCTACGCATGCACTAGAATCATACATGTATACGTATACGCGCAATGCCTCGTTCTGACCAACGACTACATAGTAAGGTTTCGCAATTCCGTTTGGTGTCCGAGTTTCAGTTGCAAACGAATCGCTTGATGGGGCTCTACCAATGGTTTGATGAGCTAATTTAGGCAGTCTCTGGGCTGTGGCATTGGATGGACCCACGCACCGACTTCCTGCGGGATATCACATACGGGTTCGGGTTCGGGGTTGGTTTAGATTTTTAGGGTTTAGGATTGGTATTAGGATTATAATGCATGCATGCATGCGATCGCCCTAGTCAGTGATTGGCGCATACAACAACCATCTATATTCTAGTATTAGGGTTCTAGGGTTAACTCTACAGTAAATATTTAAACCCTACAACCCTATGTGGAAATCTGTCGTATATATCTGGAGCGTCATTCCACCACGCCATGACCCTCTACTAGAGAAAAAAGAAATCAGGCTGACAGACATAAGTCCGCAGGAGACTCACGTGGTATGAACTGCTCAACCACACTCGCCTTGCAAACCACCGACGAACGTGCTGTTCAGTCCTGCCTGCCTTTGCAAGGCTCGGGAATACTACCAACAATGTCCAGAGCGAAAAATGGCCAAAAATTATTAGAAAAGGTGTTTTGGGCAGCTGTATATTCGAGGGACTATTCGCGAGTCGAGACGCAAGTCTCTCGACTCTCGACAATAGTAGTGAGTTGCACCAGATATTCCCAAACAGACCAACATCCGTAACAATGAAGCTGCTGGACGTACAGCCCTCCGGCATTCGCACGAAGGATCGCAATCGCACTCGTGCACGTGCCCCTCTTTCGTGGGGTTGCTAAGCAACCGATCTCACAACACAGACCAATGGTCGCCTTCTTCGCCTCCTGGCACTCGCAGTCCATGTGTCTCCCACCGAACGTTCTGTTTGACACCAGTGTCAAGGCTTTCACAGTGGGAGCTACAAGCTGCCAGATCCCGTGGGATTGGTACGTTTCTGCGTGCTTGCAACTGGCGTGATATAAGACGGCATATTTCGTTGTGACAACGTGTCGAGACCGTCGGAAACTAAATTATTACCTCGACTTGTCTTTTATTACAGTCAGACGTCCGATATACGTCACTGTATCGACCGGAGACGACATATCGCGACGGGTCGGAAAACTAGTTTGTCAAGATGGCGTGTCTTTGGCGTTTACCAGGCCAGGCTTGTATGTATTGGAGTATCCCCCTGGGAACCACCCACTCCGTGCACAGTCGAGGGTGTAACGGATGTGTGACTAGTAGTTCGTGATCCTGCCTGTACGCTATCAACCTAGCACGCGTGAGACCACACCGTCCACCCACCCCAGTCGGTCACACACGAAGTAACTGGCAGAGCCCCAAGTCTCAGAAGCGCACACGTGTGACGGGTGGTGTGTCTACGTCGGTGTAGCCGTTATACTGTGGCTGGACTCTTGTGACATGCGTGCCACACCCTCTACTATCGTTTCCTCAAGTATGGACTGCCGAGTTTCGTATGCGCGATTGAATGTGCAACGTATAGGGACGAGAAAGTCTCAGAAAAACGTCCAAATCATATTAGTTCACGCACATGGGCATAACTGGCCGTATCCCCACATATAGCAACAACCGTGTGGACCTTGGGTTGTACTGTGCGGACGAGGTGATAGTAAACCCGGACAAGCCACTCTCAGCTGAATGTTCATTCGTATCAATAGATATAGAGAAGACAAGCCACTCTAAACTGAATGTTCATTCGTATCAGTGGATATAGTGTTACGTTCATATATACCCGCACAGCCGATGGTGACCCCGCCCGATGTCGCACAATACAAGAACAAGAATCTCTAGGCCTACTGTCCTGTTCAATGGCTATGCGCACAACCAACGGAATACCGCGCGGACTGCGCTCGTTGGGCAAGGTGTCGATAAATCAAGGCAAAATCATCGTAGACAGAAGGTGCCACTCATATCTATGAATGTATATTTTTTGCATCCATATCTTTGTGCACGAAAAGGTCCTATTCCTATCTATGAGTGCACCATTTCCCATTCGTATGTTAGAGCATGAAAGGCCCCATTCATATCTATGAGCAAAGCTGACAATACCCCCACTTATTGCAGCAGCGTTTCTTCGACTGTGGATTGCATTCTGCCGGCGATCCATCCTCCAGTGGGTAGTTGACACCACAGTGAGTATCTTCTCTCCATCGGATCATAGGCATATTTCTTTTCACCCCACTTGCACCTACATCACTTATACTACTTGCATCACTAGCACTATTGATCGATGCTCCGCTACTGTTGTATGCAGCCATATTTAAACCGGATAAACCCTGGCCGTCGGCTCTGTACATCTGCATTAAAAGTAATGGCGTGCAGAAGAACGAGCAAACGAGTACGGTCAGCAATACTACCGACGACATGGGCAGCCGCTTCTTCCCCAATTCAACACCGTGCATTGTAAGGGATGCTTGACATATACTTCCCGAAGTATCCAGTACAATCTACCCAGCGGACAGCAGGTTATTTACAATTTCAGTTAGGGATATGTTCACATGTATATATGAGACTAGAATCAACTAGGTATGTACTATATATGTATGTCACATATTTGTGAAATACCGACTCGTATATTTATATATATTTATATGCATATATTTAATACAAAATATATGTTATATATTAATTCAAAAGAGTATATATAAATACACATAGAGTAGACTGGGCTGGACTCTATAGAGTCAGGAGTCCGGGAGTCCGGCCACCGGTGGGGTTTCCACACAAAAAGGTATAAACATAGCAACAGCCGCAGCGTTTCGGCGGTTTCGCCCTTCGTCGATATGCATTAAAAATGCATTATGAAAATGGCAATATGAACATTTGCAGTGCTTGGCTGCTTTCAGCTTTCTACTGAAATACATACCGAACTTCAAAAGCCGGTAAAGTTTACCAGTAAATTCCTCCATAAATAGGCAACCTCCCGTTAAAAATACTGATTTAACAAATATTGACATACAATAGTCAACTAGTCTTCATATCCGGACCATCATACTTCTATCAACAATATGGCTATATCTTTCAGCGACATTATCGGCGCTGGCCTTGCGTCGAATGTTATCGGTGCCATATGGTACGTGCGTTTAAGCTTCAACAAGAAGTTGTGTTACTTTAATTTTTTTGAATTCAATCGTCGTCGCAACCCGCGGACGTCAAGCGTCTATCGTTTTCTGTACTCTGATTAGCTCGGTTGCGCTGTGAGAGAAATATTTTAAGTACACACCCCGTTCTATTTAAAAAACTGTGTTGTTTCGGCATAGTTCTGTATGTATAGTGTTCAGAAGTGTACCACATTGAGCTTGTCTGTCTCGTCGTTGACGTCTTCGTATTGTGGATACAATACACGTCTTAATTGTCTCAGTGTTTATTGCTATTTGTGCTTCCTGCACTTGAGTGTGGAAATTGGGTCGTCCGCTAGTGGAACCACGTTGACCCTTCTATCCGATACGGTATACACACATACTTTCGAACTTAATTCAGGCAATATGTTGTCTGGTTTGTCAGATATCGATCGAACGCAGTTTGTGTATTTCTACTTGGAATATGTGGTCACATGACAAATTTTGTACTGTCGTGTATCCAGCAGACACAGGAGCCTGAATTTCAAAAGAGATAAGTAGATGCTTAAACTAAATATTGTGTCAATCGGTATTACAGAGCTTGTTTCGTTATCTGTAACCCCAGCCTTTGGTCAATCAAACAGTTAGCAGATGTGCGTGTTGGTACATAGTAGTATTTACTATCCGCACCTTAGCCTATTGTGCCCGCACGCGTTGTACAATTGGCTTAGCGAGAAGCAGTGCTTGTTAGTGTTTGAACTCACTCGCTCTTTGCTACTAAACCGGAGTTTAACCCGAAACACTACGTTTTAACATGGGCGTCCTGAGTACATAGTGTGTAAATGTGGAGTACAACACCGTATATGTGTCATATCTCCGATAGACATTCAATAGTCTACTAATTTTATGTAGAGTCCATCTTTCGTATGACATACGAGGCTATGCCATCACATGGCATGATCTATGAAATTTTTCTGTGTTATATTCAAACTACTTTTTAATTCCATTTATTAGTACTTCTTTATATATGAGATACTTCTTCGTATATAAACTATTTTGTCGTACTTCTATTTTATATAAAACAATTATTCGTTATCTATAATATCAAAGCCTTTCAATGAAACAATGCTAAAATACTTTTCTACTATATATATA